ACGTGTTTACTTTGCAAAGCTGATGCAAGCAATATTGATGACCTGTTTTTGTTTCTTAAAAATTATGATTTTGATTTGACAGAACATTTGGATTCCGGTTTCTGTCTATTATTTAAGATACTTTTTGCGAGCGGCAGATGGTGTTAATAACTCAGGAAACAGCATGATGATTTAAAACAGAGAAAATTATCTTATAATTAAAATGAGAAGAGAGACTAAGAGCTCAACGAAATAATCGTCTTGAGCATTGATTATATTCGTAAAGAGCTTTTTTCCTTTCTTGATGGAAATATGTTCCGGATAACCAAACCATTAGTAAATTGTTTTGGATACTCGCCTTTTACAAAATGAAACAGTTGCTTTCAAATGGCAACTATTGTTATTTAGAAAATTCACATGCACCAAACATTTTTTGTTTATTATAAGGAGTATACATCGGTGTTGTGTGTGGATGAGGGTGAGTAGGCTTTTATAGCTGAGAATATACGTTTTTGAGAATAATTGAGATAATTAGAAATAATAAATGAAAAAGTGGTCTAATTAGTAGTCATCACTGTTGTTTCTTAACAGAAATACTGCATCCACAGAAAAACGAGAATACAGTGTATAGGTATAATTATCTTCGTCGGAAGTCAGATTTTGTATGATAATCACACAGTGATTTCGTTACTTCTTTGTTGTATGAGTTTTTTTTCTTTTTCTTCTATTACGATTCATATGACACATATATACAATTGTAGGGATACCACAGAGTGGCTCATAATTAAATCCCATCAGCGACAAAAATAGATAAATCTCTCTTTCGTGACTCTCATTCAAATGAGAGAACACACGTAACATATTTTTTGACTCACTAGGATCTTTCACAATCGGAATTTCCATTCACACAATAAATATGAAATAACACATAAAATGAAAACACAGCATACCGGAGTATTTTTCTCTATACCATTATATTATATAATATAATAGAAGAATTAATCGTGAATAATTAGCTCTTTCAGCGACTATGCTTAGGCAGAAAAAAAATATTTTATTAAAATGAATTTGTCAAGCATAAGAAAAAATATTTATCCTGAAGATAAGTGTCAAAAGAAACTAAGATATGGACTGACTTTTTCTAGATTTTTCTTTCCAGAAAAAATCCCTTCTTTTTCTATGTTAAGCCGCTTGTTCACATGTCATCTATCTTAATATCAAGGAAAAAAAGACTCATCCGGCACTCTGCTAGCTGCGGATAGCACAAGAAAAAAACATAGAAAGCTAAACACATACAAAATTTTTTATAAATTTTCTTGTTAAGAGGGGTAAACTATACATTAATCTGACTCAATTTGGTTCAGAGAAAAAAACAAAAGAAGTATGTAATGAATTATTCTAACAATAGTTTCTTGAAAGTTTTTAATTGTTAACGTTTTTTCTAAATATAACAATATATATTTGCTCATCTCTATGGTATATGGTATGTGAATTGTATGAAACGTAAGATTTGTATAAATGTTTATAAAAAAAAAGTCTAATATCTGATATATAGAAAAGATTCTAAATAATTTCGTTGTCGGACATGATATTGACGATTTCTAAGAAATGACAGAAGTTATTTTTCTATGTATTTTATGTGATTTACACATATCGTCTAAAATTATTTCAAATAGAGAAATTATGATTACTGATGCATATATATTTATATAGAAAATCGATCAGAAACGACAGATTGCTGTGGAAAAAAATCTTATTATCTAAAGTAAGGTTTAGTTTTTTTTCTGTTCCTGATGAAGTGATGAAGTATACTCTATTCATCTCTCCTTTCACATGGCTTCACAGAGACAAATGGCTTCCGAAAAAAATGAATAGTTTTTACTAAATTCTTCACTCTAGATCTAGAGAAAATCTTATTAGAGATTTTTTTGTGTTGAAATACCAATTTCGAAATATTCTGATCATTCAGAATCATATCAATTATTACAGGTTATAACATCATCGTTCAAGTTTAGAAACGCATTTTTTCACCCCTTAGAACAACCAGAAATTTGGACTTTTGTATGGATTTGGTACCAGAAATCATTGTTTCGACTGTAATACAATGATTCTACGGAGAAAATAAATGAGAAAGGCTAAATGTTGATATTTACACGTCAGAAAAAGTTTTGCTGTCCAATAAAAAAAAAGAATGTTTTTTTATCCAAGCACTCGAACAGCATATCTTGTATAATATTGCTTTTATAATTAAAGTTTGTGTAACATCTATAGTCCTTTATTCTATAGTCCTTATAGTCCTTATCCTATATTGCAATTTATTTCTAAGTTCTAAGAAAAAAGTATGAAGCTATAGAGAAGTGGACCATATGTTTAACTTGAACCCTTTTTTCTCTATTTCTGAGTTATCGAAATCATCCTATGTTTTATACGAGCCTATAACTCTTTTACATATAACTTCATATATAGTAGTAGAATTTTTATCATATAAATAATTACTGAAACAGGTCATAAGTACTCACAATTGTGACAAGTTTGAGGATAGAAAAAATTTTTTAAAAATTAACAAAAAGAAAGAAAATCTCAAAGTTTGGTGATTGGATTGACGTTTTTTTTTTCTCTAGCAAGATGATAATTAGACTTAAAGAACGATGTAATTTAACATCGAATAAAAAAAAACGGAAGTATTTCCGTATATACACCTTTCATTAGTTGACGTAGATATTCACTCTTATTTTTCACAATGATCTTCGTCTAAAGTTATATATTCATTTATCATTTAATTAGGTCATATTTCATCATCAGGAGATGCTGCTACTTTAATTCTGTTCCGTTCATGTTTCTTCAAGATTTTTTTAGTTTTCTAATATGAAAAAAAAAAAAAAGAAAAAGATTTCTATCATTCTATTATGACAAGATTAATTTTTCATCTTATTATTAAAAATGAAAATATTTTTTTATTTTTTATTCCCTTTGGCTTTTTATACCATTATCATTATCCGAAAAATTTTCACAGTTTTTTAAGATTTTGATATGAACCTCAACAGTCTATCTTATTCCGTCTGATTATTATCTTCTGTCTTTTATTTTTTTTTTTTCATTTTTTTTTCCTTAGTACTTAAATATCTACCTTTTAACATCTTTATATTATTAGGTGTTTGTTTGAGCTGATCATTGGAAAACCGGAAAACAAGCATTGATTTATTCTTCTTTTTTTTTTGTCATCTTCCTATTACTGCTAGGAAACATATTTTACTTAACAAAGATTTTGTTAACGTTCGAATTAACAACATAAAAACATGGAAAGAGAGAGAGAGAGAAGAATTCATAGTGCTCAGTGGTGATGAATACCTTTACAGATTAATTTACTTTTCTTCTCTTTTTTTCTTAAAATATATACATAAATACTATAGAACATACCAGAGAAACACATAGAGAGTAATGATACCCAAAAGAATTATTCTTAAACTTTGATTAGCTAAACAAAGTAAACACACACAGATACTATTATTCAATCAAAATTTCTTTTATCGAAATGTAAAGGTAAGGTACATAATAAGTTTTGTAGTTTTCGAAGATTTCAAAGTGTAGCTAAACATACCATTTTGAAGATATAGTCGTATATGTATGATAAATCTACTCTGTTTAAAAATACATAATTAAAAAAAAGCCTTCAAAACAATCGTTCGTATTTTAGGAAGAATTTTAAAAGTCTTTATTTACTATTTTGTAAAAAATGCTGAATGGATACTTGAAGTCTTCTAAATACTTTTCACTGGTCAAATGAATAAAAATTAAGTGAAATCAGTGTGGATTTCGACGACATTTTTATTCAAAATTTCTATTTTGAGAGTTTTCTTAAAAAAAAAACAAGTTTATGATATGACAAAAAAAGAAGCAGAAAATATTCCTTTAGATTTAATATTAAAATACACGATTAATCAGAGCATACATTTACATTATGGGTCGGTGAATAACACATTCCACAATCGTTTATGATGTATAGAGTTGGCAAGGTATGAATGAGATGATTAAATATTACAGGAAATATTTTCATCGTACAAAAAAAAAAAAAAAAATTTAATTTTTCATTACTGATATTCTAACCGTCGGCAAATCTTTAAGAAAGATCTTTTTTTTACTGTTTTAACAAAGATAATGTTAACAGTAAAAGTCTCGTTTAAAAATATCATATTTTCATAATATGCTGTACAATATATAGTCAAGTATTTTCTACAAATATGTCTACTAGATTACCCTATGACTGAGAATTAAAAAACTTATTTAATTTTCAACATATTAGAAATTTTGATCAAATTAATTAGTTCATTAGTTCATTTTCATTTCATTTTCATGTCCATTCAGATATTTTTCTACGAAATAAATACAACATTAAACTCGATCGTCTATCGCTCTTATGCTGAAGAATTATATGATCATTTTGAACTTTCAAAAAGGCTAATAGAGACAATTGGTAGTCTACAAGAAACATGGCTTTCTGCTACTGAACTAAATCTATCGTAAGTATTTAAACTATATCGTTTCCATTTTGATCATCGATAAGTTGTGCTTTTCTCATTTGATAATCTCTTTGGAAAACTGCAAGATATTGACTTGCAAAACGACATTTTTTATCGTTAATCTATGCTACTTCATACCTGGTAAAAGTGTTCATTTTTTAATAATTGAGCTCAGTGTAACTTTTGAATAATATTCAAAAATAACATTCATTTTCTCTAAATCATTGTAATGATTTTATTTAATATTTCTTTTTAAAAAATAAAAAGACAATTATTGCAAATATTAACGATTATGTCGTTTGTTGAGATGAAATAGATCACTTGTTATATCTCTATTAGAATTCTCATTATTTTAGATGCGAATGATTTCAATTAATTATTATCAATTTATTCTTGTGATTAATCTCTATGTCGTTTATACGTTCGATATTTGTTAAAAACGGTCTATTATTGACAATACGGTCATTTACATTATTTTTAATATTTTTTCTATGGATTTGTGAAATGAATGCTGCTAATCGTACCTACACAATGACTCAGACAACAACGAATGAACTAATATCTATTTTACAATCGTCTTATTTAGATTCTACTCTAATGAATGATTCAGTTGTTGAGCGTTTATCATCAAATTCATCAACACTTACTAATTCTACACAAATATTACTATTAGCTTTAGATCAACTAGGTATTGTTTTTTCATGGAATACTGGTGATTGTACAATACCCACATCTGTTGCTTCACAAATATCATTAGCTATTAATGTTATTAATCCAATATGTTTCGTTAAAGAATGGACAGATATAACATTGATGCCTACAAATATGTTACAATTAACATTGACAACTGAAGAATTAGTTAGTGCAGCACAAACATTAATGCAACAATATAATTTGCATTATTTTAGCATGATTAGTGATTCAAATGAATTGTTTTATTCATATTTAGCTCAACAATTTACAGTTGGACTAATGTCAACTGCTCTGTATACATTAGACAAATATTTAAATGTATCAGATATACTCAATTATTCGATGACACAATTGACACAATTAAAAAGTCGAGGTAAAAATAAAGAACGATTGAGATTTTAATCATAATAATACTCTGATAAAAATTTGGTATATTCATTTTAAATTTTTTAGTTTATTTATATCGTTTAAGGGTACCTCTCCGCTCTTTTTTGATCCTCTTGAAATCGATGTTTGATCAGGGTGAAATTTATACCAGAGATAGAATATTGAAAAAGAAAATCGATATATTTTTGCCCAGAATTCTCTAGTATGCTCTTCTATGGGTTTTCTGAAAAAGTCCAGTTTTTCATCCAGTCGCAGTACGATTCCTTGAAAAAATGATCCAATTGAAGTGAAATTTTTACCACAGATACTTTACACTCTATCTCAGATTGGTTTTTCTTCTTTTCAAAAAATATTCTTTCCTTCTAAGAGTATGCCAGAGAATTCTGGACAAAAATATATCGATTTTCTTTTTCAATGTTCTATCTCTGGTATAAATAGATAGAACAATAATAACAAAATAGATAAACAATTGATTTTTTTGTTGTTTTTTTTGTTTTATTTTCTAGTTTTATTTGTTATTTGTTCCTATTCTGATGAACAACGTCTCTATTCTTTTATTGTACAAAATTCTATATCCGGTGTGACCTATATTTTTTTACGTTGGTCACAATTTCATTCATCATATTATACTTCATCATTTTCATTAAATTTTATTGAAAATAATAATCTATCGCCAACTTATCTTAGGTCATTAAATTCGACATCATTTTCTATTTTACATTTATTACCAATGGATATTGGAAATACATATTCACAATTACTAACAAATTTAAACCAAATATTATTGTTAAATCAAACAAGTTTTGCATCTGTTGATAGTGTAAGTGATGTTTTGTCACTCTATTCAAACAAATCCATTAATGGATAACAAAATTCAAAAATATTTCTCTGTATTATTTAATTTTAGATAGTGTATATATTACATGAATTAGAAGGTGTACTATATTTAAATCAACAAGGTTCTGGTCAATCATCCGCAACAACAGATCTTGGAAATATTTCATTATCAAATCGTATTCGTCTATTTAATTATTATCTTGTTGGTATTAATTGTAATGGTACATGGACACCATTTAAAATGATTTCAAATAATTTAACATGGATTAGTCTCGATGGTAATATATGCACCAAAATGGTATGGCCTGGCGTTGATTCATCGACAACTGTAACAGATCAAAGTGGTATGTGAAAAATTGAGATAAAATGTTTTTTTAAATTTTTTAACGTATTATTTAATAATAGGTTGGAATATATTAAGAATTGTACTATTTTCATTGTTGGGAGTTGTTGTAGCATGTGTTATTGCATTGATAACAGTACTTGTTATTAGGTATATAGAACTTTAGTTTAAAACATGGATTGTTTAACATCTATAAATTGGATAATATTTTTTTTGCAGAAGTCAACTTGCACGAAAACAAATGAGTAGAGGTCCAAATAAAATTATATTATTACCCGATGATCTAATATTTGTTATGCCAAAAGGATCAATTTTTACAAGCAGAGTAGGTGATGTTTAAAATAAGTATTATGTCAATTTCATGATTTCTTTTAATATATAACATAGATAAATCTTAAAGCTGAAGCACATGAACGAAGTAATATTTCAATTCGAAGTGAAGAAATACAATCGGGAAATACGGCACGATACAATGTGAATATAATAATATAAAATATTTTGCAACATATACTCTAATTACTATATTCTTCTCAATTATAGGGCGATCTTGTTGAAGTTAAAAAATTAAATATTGGACCACTTTCTCTTCGAACAAAAACGATGAAAGAATTACGCATGGTATATATTTTATCTTTGATATTTAGTTTTAAGATTTTTAAGATAACGGGTGGATCAGATTAAACCGATCACTTTTATTTTCTGTTCTTTAGGTACTAAAAATCGTTTTAATACCCAGTTTTGAGTTCATTCCATAGAGAATTTATTGCTCGATAAAATTATCGACATTGTTTTTCAAATAAAATTTTCTTGTCGGTTGTAGGGTAAAAGATTAACACCTACTCAATCGTTCAACTGCGACGGTCAGAAAACCAAAAAAATGATAAAAGACTTTTAAAACTGTTCCACTAAAATTATAAATATGCCACAAAGTTTTCCATAAAATTCTGCATCTTTCGATGTATGTTTCAGAATTTTAGAAGAAATGTTTTCGAGAAAAATATTTGAAGTAAAAAAATGAAAAAACATCAGAAATATCCCTTTACTGTTGTTTATTGGCATGACAGAGTTATGCCATTGTTCGTTTTTAATTTGAAACAATCTAAAAGTTTTCACTGTTCAACTTATCAGTGGCACCACTTTGTTCAGAATTAAATTCTATATGCGGTGCCTTGAGAATAAGCGTTTCATAGAACAAGTCCGACGTTAGAAAACAGAATTTTCCAAAATGTTAATCTTTTACACTTTGCACAGAGAAGAAAATTTTATTTGAAAAATAAAGTTGTCAGTTTTGTAGAGCAATGAATTCTCTATCGAATAAACTTAAAACAGGATATTAAGACGATTTTTAATGTCATAAAAACAGAAAACAAAAGTGACCGGTTTAATCTCGTTCACCCGTTATAGAATGGTTTTCAGTCGAATAGTCTTATTTACTGCTAATCTTATTTCATTAAAAAATTTGCACCTTATCTGAAGTAGATTGGTCGATTTTAAACTCCATGGCCTATAGGCAAGTAAGACTTAATCAAAAAGAACTCTTTTACTCGCATTACTCGCACTCAATTTATGCACTAATCTTTCAAATAAGATGGTCTATTAAATTTAATAAGATTTCAAAATAGGAATAAGCTTCATAAGTTTAAAACTTAACTTAAATATTTAGTTGTGTGTTAGTCAATTAGTGATTATCATGCTGTTAAATATTAATGACAATCATTTTTATTAGCGAATAGATATACCCTTCCATGTACAATTTAATTCTGAACAAAGTGGTGCCACTGATAAGTTGAACAGTGAAAACTTTTAGATTATTTCAAATTAAAAACGAACAATGGCATAACTCTGTCATGCCAATAAACAACAGTAAAGGGATATTTCTGATGTTTTTTCATTTTTTTACTTCAAATATTTTTCTCGAAAACATTTCTTCTAAAATTCTGAAACATACATCGAAAGATGCAGAATTTTATGGAGAACTTTGTGGCATATTTATAATTTTAGTGGAACAGTTTTAAAAGTCTTTTATCATTTTTTCGTTTTCTGACCGTCGCAGTTGAACGATTGAGTAGGTGTTAATCTTTTACCCTACAACCGACAAGAAAATTTTATTTGAAAAACAATGTCGACAATTTTATCGAGCAATGAATTCTCTATGGAATGAGCTCAAAACTGGGTATTAAAACGATTTTTAGTACCTAAAGAACAGAAAATAAAAGTGATCGGTTTAATCTCGCCCGCCCGTTACTTCTTATTTTCTATTTTGATTTTAGCTAAAAGATCTTCGACATGAGAATGTAAACACATTTATTGGTATTTTTATTGACCAGCAAATGCCCGCATTAATATACGAATATGGACATCGTGGAAGTTTAGAAGTATGATAGGACCGATGTTTAATCAACTATTTTTGGATAGTTTAATATCAATTTATCCCTTTAGACATTATAGTCTACTAATTATATATAATTAGTATAGTACATACTATTTGTAGATTATGAAAAAGTTATGTTAAATTGTCGTAGAGTTATTACTATCACTCGATGTAAGAGAGGACTATGAGTACAATACATTTTCCCGAGAATTAATGATAGTTACAAAGTTTGAGTTTGTTTAAAATAGAGTAAACTGATTTAATCATTTTTTGAAATTTTACCGTTTGGTACCCTGTAATAAATAGATAATTGAAATTGGAAGTTTAAAACCGGTTTTTATTGTATTTTTGATTGTAGAAAAACATTTTTATTGTACCATGCTCAACTGTTATTTTACTGAGTGATCCTCCTAGAATAAAAGTCATCAGTTATTTTATTTGTTTAGGATATATTAAAAAAAGAAGAAATTAAACTTGATTGGAATTTTAAATGGTCAATGTTAAATGATCTTGTTCGAGTATGTGTATATGACATCAAAAACAAAAAATGATTTAAAATAACAACATAAGAAGAAAACAACGATGACTTTTTACCGTGTATTCTAGGGTATGCGATATTTATCTCATTCACCAATTAAATGTCATGGAAATTTAAAATCACGAAATTGTGTTGTTGATTCAAGATGGGTACTGAAAGTAACCGATTATAGAATGAACGAAATTTATGTACTACAAAATTCTCCTCGAATTGTTGATATGTCAGGTAGACAATAATGTAACTTCGAATGTATCTGTGAATCATAATTATTTAAAATTTTACTAAAGATTTATTATGGAGTGCTCCTGAACATGTTCGGACAGCCATAATTAAAGGTGATATTGCAACGGTGACAACAAGCTCAATAGCCGGTGATGTGTACAGTTTTGGTATTATAATGCAAGAAGTGATACTTAGAGGCGCACCATTTTGTATGCTGGATTTAACAGCAACAGGTAGGTACTTATATCAATTATTTCTTATTTATAGTATAATTATATTTTGTTACATATTTTTGACTTTTATACTTACAGAAATAATTGCAAAAATTCGTAAACCACCACCTTTATTACGTCCATCTGTCTCCAAACAAACTGCGCCACCAGAATATATCAATAGTATGAAACAATGCTGGGCTGAACAACCGGAAACACGACCAACGTTTGCCGATTTAGCTCAATCAATTAAATCTTTGAATGGTGGAAAGTAAGTCTTTTTTTTGTGAAACTTCTCCTAAGATTGCGAAGCACAGAGAAATTGAAGTAGTATACTCACAACCTTAGCAATTTTACTGATTTTTTGCCTCCCTCCCCTCCTAGCAATGATCTTAAGGGTTCTCATGGTAATACTCTTACAGAATTACCGTAATTACCTTTCGAGAATAAGGTAATGATCTTCTGGACTGCGTTAATAATATTTCTTTTTTTTTCATTTCGGAAACCTAAAAAGGAATGAAGATTGCATTCGATGAACAAAGTTAATTTCAACAGAAATAATATAACTAAATCTGAGTTTTAAGCTTTTTAAAACTTAGACGACAATAGGGTTTTTTTTAGTTCATTAGTATTTACGTATCTACTTGGGGCGTATGTTCGAAAATTAATCAAATAGAACAAAACAATGTTAGACCTTTTGTTCAAGTATCACTTTAGTATAAAATAGGAGGATTTTCATATTTTAGTCCCATTAAGGGCTAGTCTGACAAGATTTTTCCAAATTAACTAATCAATCAATAAAATATTTTAATCTAATTTCATAGAAAAGTTAATATTGTCGATACAATGTTTAAAATGCTTGAACAATATTCAAATAATCTTGAAGAACTTATTCGAGGTATGATTCATCAGTAATTAACAAAAGTGAACACTATGGTCTCGCTATTTTTCTTATTAGAACGTACAACCCAATTGGAAGAAGAAAAGAAGAAAACAGATAAGTTGTTATCACAAATGCTACCACCGTAAGTTGACTAAATATACTTCCATTTGTTTCGGCATACGTTCAACGAAGTGATTATTTGCTTATATGAATTATCAGTTTATATTTTTTATTACAAATGAATGCATTCCTATGCTGATGATGGTCTTTTCTAATGCTAAAGTTTGCATTTTCCAGTTTCTGTGAAGAAAATGACGGTCAACATACAGGCCAGAGGTTTCTTTTTGGCATATCTCTACTCACCTATCGTCTTCTTTTCAACTTCGATTCACAGTGAACTAAGATTCAAATTTTATTTTACAAATATTTAGTTGCATTTTTCAAGTTTTAATTGTGTTTGATTTAAATATTCTAACTGACTTCCTAACCGTTTAAATTGTCTCTTCAGCTATAGACATGATCTATATTTATATTTTTTTGTCTATATTTAGAACGGTTGCTGAAAGTTTGAAGTCGGGTACAACTGTTGAAGCTGAATGGTTTGAAATGGTAACAATATATTTTTCGGATATTGTCGGATTTACTACCATCTCAGCATTAAGTGGCCCAATGGAAGTTGTTGATCTTCTAAATGATTTGTATACAATGTTTGATTCAATATTAGAAGATTTTGATTGTTATAAAGTACGTACATGAGAATATGAGAGTAACAATGATATATTTACTTTTATTTTGCTTACTACTAGGTTGAAACAATTGGTGATGCGTACATGGTACAGTATGTTCAATAATTATTAATCCGTACTTCAACATTTGATCTAAATTGTAGGTTGTAAGTGGTTTACCAATTCGAAATGGTATTAGACACGCATCAGAAATAGCTACAATGGCATTGACTTTACTACATCATTGTGGAAAATTTAAAATTAGACATATGCCTGGTGTACCATTACGTCTAAGAATTGGATTGCATTCTGGTAAGAATTTAAGATTTGTTATTTATACGATGTAACCATTGCTTTTTCTTTTACATTAACAGGTGCATGTGTTGCGGGTGTGGTAGGTTTAAAAATGCCCCGTTATGTAAGTATTATCTAGACGTATTTTGAACAGTGTTTGATTCTCTTATTTTCACTGCTAGTGTTTATTTGGCGACACTGTCAATACAGCTAGTAGAATGGAATCAACAAGCATGGGTAATTATATTTTTTGCCATAAATAATCAATTTCATTTTGATGAGAAAAAATAGTAATCATTTGCATTCGTTCAGCCACTATTTTACATTATGTATGTTTTTTTCTAGCATTTCGCGTACACATGAGTGAAACAACAGCAGGCTTACTAGAAGAGATTGGTGGTTTTAAATTAGAATTTCGTGGCATTACGGAAATTAAAGTATAAACTTTTGTGTATTAATTGAGCAAGAAAACATGTGTACTCTTTTTTCTTAAAGGGAAGAGGAAATTATAAAACATACTGGCTTCAAGGACAAGAAGGTTTTGACAAGGAACTTCCTGAGGCAGTTATATCGGAAGATAATCACGGGTTAGTATATTAGACTATTCATTTTAAAATAGAATGGACCTTGCCATTTTTTGAATAATATTTGAACAAATAATACATATTTTGAATTTTTTAGTCTCGACAAAGAACTCGTCAAATTGGTTGAGAAACAGGCAAAAGAACTTGATGAAGTTCAACTACTGAAAAAAAGCGAAATGGTATCTAAGCAAACTAAAAACAATAACGTTGAAGTACACGTAAAAAGTATATCAGAAGTACGACCTACCGATATCACTGAAACGCAAACAAAAATCACCGTGGCCGAAGCAACAAAATCTCGAACAGATCGTATAGACACAGTAGCTTCGGGTAATACCGATACAAATTCCCCGGCAAAAACAGCTGATTTATTGCGTTTCACTCCACCACCCACCACACCGTCGACTCGTCCCCCACCACCCACCACACCACCTGCTCTTCCTCCACCGCCGTCTTCCGTCCAGCAACACCGTGTTAAATTTATGCAGCAACAAACAGTATCATCGTCGTCCAATACTAATCATACTAGTGGAAAATTACAAAATGGAAATGGGTCCATATTGAACCGAAGAGTATCAAAAGCAAAATGGTGATCTTTCGTATTTGTGTATTTCTAATCTGACTTGAAGACTTTTTTTTTATGACTTTAGAATCTTAATGTATACCCCCGGTAATACTTTTTTTTAATGATGTTCTATTTTCTAATATTAAAACTAATCAACAATAATGCCTTATTATCACGCTGGCGATACAAGGTATTTACCAAAGATCGACGTAAAGCTTTTACTAATTTTAGTTGTATATAATTTGTGAGGGCTTGTTCCATATGAAAGTAGAAAATTAATCTAAAGACAAAAAAAATTGAAAATTTTTTGAAGTCTGTATTAACTCTGATGGCAAATTCTGTTCTGAGCATATTTTTTTTCTAAATAAATAAAAGACAAAAAAAAATTGTAAAGAAAAAAGTAGTAATAAAAAACTTTTTAAAGCATCGGGAATGATATTAAAAATCAAACGAAGTTTATATAAACGTTACTCTAATCCAAATAGGGATGTTCGGTTATCGGTTAAGGTTCTCGACTTAGAACCGCAACGAAAAGAACCGCAGTTCCGGTTCCGAACTTATAACAGAACCAAACATATGAGCTGATATACACAAATATGTTCTGTCGAAGCGGTCATTGATGCTGTATAAAAGAATGGATAAAGATACAGACAGTGAAGAAGATGTTGTGCGTCATGTCACAAAATGTAGCAAAATTTTGATCGATATTGAAGAATTAAGCAGTTCTAGTAGTGATCGGAGCGGTCGAAAGCAAGCGAATGATGCTCAAACACTATTTTTGACCATACCAAAACAATTGATTGATCTTAGTTCGACTGTGAAAACGTCAGCAGAAGAGTCTATTATCAGATTGATGTTAATTACAATTCTAGGACATGAATATAGCCATTGCAAGTTGAATGAATTTAATTTTGAAGATTGGTCATAAAAACATTCACCAGAGATCCTTGAGGTAAGCGACAGCGGTACATTTTGGCAACAAAATACAATCGGAGGAATACCAAAAATTAGCAATAAACAACTGTCATTAGAATTAGAACTAATTGTTCATGAACCCTATACAAATATTATATATCGTTGCAAAATTTATGTGGTAAGAATGAGTCATCGCTTCTTGTAAGATCTTATAAGATCTTGTAACAAGAAATCGTATGATCTTGTGATAAGAACTGACAACATCTTGCAAGATCATATAGTTTCTTGTTACAAGATCTTATAAGATCTTAAGATTTCTTATAAGCTGATCTTGTAAGATCTTACAACAAGAAGTTACAAGATTCCGCAAGATCATACATGACCTTGGGATAAGATCTTACAAGTCCTTGCCAAAAGATCTTGCAGCAAGATTGCATAAAAAATCGTCAGATCTTATAAGATCTTGTAAGACGTCTTTCCCCTGGGCATACATGATCTAATCTTTCTTATTTATATTATGGCTAGCTGAATACTGTTAGAAAAGAACTCATAAGTAAATCATGCATTAGGTCACATTACCATGTACCAATCTTGACCAACCCTAGTGGAAAATGACGAAGTTTATGCTGAGCTTTTACCTCTAGTAGTAACGACATATTTTCATGATAAATGCAAACACACACATCGTGCGACGACGATTTTTTTTATTCATTTTGAGAGTAAAGCATAAAATTTTAAACCACTAATCGTCATGTTTGGGTTCTCCGTTCGATATTATTCAAACACTTTTCCGATGGTGAGGGTCATGAATCGAACGGGAACTAACTGTTCATCTTCGGAATCGCCTCCTTTCGGAATTTGAAGACAATCTTTCGCATTTGGCGATTGTCGGCTAACAGTATCTGAGCAGTAATAATCCAATACACTATCGATAGTTTCTCGATCTAATGCAGCTTCAAACCGGCTGTCAAAAAACAGAAATACAGTATAGGTCTGTCCCTCTGAAGTTTTTCTAAAGCTAAATACCTATGAGAGCGTCGGCCTCACTCGACAGAAGTTAATCTAGGTGACGAAATGAGTCGTTGTCTTCGTCAGATGCGGATGTTAATGTACCAAGTTGCCCACATAGACGTTTCGCTGTATTCATAACCTTGGTTGCCTTTTGACGTAATACATATGATTGATGGCTAAAATTACATCAGAAAGAGAGTAGATAAGCTATAACGTGATATTTTCGTACTGTTTACGCATCTTTTACGGGTGATACGTTGGCTGCTTCCAGCAAACTGTTGAATGATGTTTGTACATTGAATATAGAAGCAAAGGAAAGAAAAAAATTTTGAATTAAAATTATTTCCAAACAAATTAAACACGACGAATCGAAACGATAGTATATACAAATTGGAAGTTGTGCTACAATTTCAGTATATAAGATATGACGCTGAAGAATTTTTAATTGATAGTACAAAAGTACAATATAAAATATAAACAAGCAGTCATATTAAGAATAGAGAAAACAGAAAGGGAAGAAGACATGGAGAAGAAAAAATTGTTACTTGAACCGGTCATATTTAATATATACGATAACGATGAAAACGATGATTTAGAACAGGTAGACTTTTGACGACTTTTATTTCATTTCCGTTCAATTTTTCAATTCTAATGAGCAACAGACTGAAATAGATTAACAGGTTGATCAATTCAATGTGTGTATAAAGCACACAAACAATGAATGTGAACTTTCCTTTTTCCTGAGTAAATCTGATGGCATCTTTTTACATACTGTTCTAAACTGAGAATCGATATATGCCATTTTGTTTCCATTACAGATTGTGTGCGCTTTTTTTGTTTATTGAAAATCATGTGTATACAGCTAAAAGCACATTTTTTACATCAATTTCTAAAACATACAGATGGTAGATTTGAAATTTTCCTTTCGATAGATGGTTAAGAGAGGAAACACAGGCTTTAATAATTCTATACCTTTTCTGTTGAGAGTAGAAATTTGTAGTGTCTCTTATGTGTGTATGTGCTATTTGAAATCGTTATGCGTTGTATTTTTTGCAGATAATTTTATACATGTGTGTTTGTATGTTTTCTTTTGTAGAAACAATTGCAAAATGAATTAAATCTATCATTGTTAGCCATGTTTTCTGCTCGCGAGACAACAGTGAACTAATTCGTACATACCGTAATGCTTTTAATGTCTCATATTAATGTATCATAGAAGAAAGAAATCCGAGACTTTTACACGAAACAAACACGTAAATTTTTGATTTTGAACATCGGTGTCTATTATGTATAAATAGATTGGAGCTCGCGCGGATGATTTACCGAAGCTGCTCACATTTTCCCGTTGATTCTTTCGCTATCACATTTATTAAAACCTCAAACTATTTGAAAAAGCTTTGTGATCTTACAATAGAAAACATTTATAGTCCAAAAACTACTAAGTGTTGCAATTTTTCGAAGAATTTTGAATGTGAGAAAGTTGTTTACATATATATGAGATCTATCAACTAGTAGTTCTTCTTGATTGCTTTTATTTCAAAATATTGTTCTAGCTTAATATACACAAACCGATTAAATCAATATTAGTCACTTAACGGATTTTTTCTTCACATGTATTCTCTATGCTTGATGGAATATATCCCATATATATAAATATCCAATATCAAACAAAATTAAATGGCCGATAATATTTTTCATCCCGGAAAAATGACATAATTGAGCCCGTATATCATAATTTCAATAAAAATAGTGCAAAAGATCCCGGTTTTTTAAAAATATATTGTGAACACTATTGATCCCGGTGCGAACTAATGTTTTTATTTACGTCGCTTTCGTATAAAAGAGCCTTATTGGTGCGAATTATAGGCAGGTGTTTAGGTTAGAGCTAGACTTTGCTTAATTACCATTTGAAAGAAAAATCTTTAAGCTACAAAATAAGACGTTTCCCAACTCTATATGTTGTTCGGCTGAAGAGCTATGAATTTCACAAGACGTTATGATCTTAGATTTCTGGCTGATACGCTATGAGAGGTCGTGATTCAGTAGATGTTCGTATGAGATCTGAAAATACTGAAAAGAACATTAGAATGAATTTTCCCTTGAGAGAAGACTGAGCAGTAATGTCATCGATCTAGCGCTGATTTCCAAGATTATTGTTAATTGTTAATCTATTTCAATTTTTTTATTGCACAAAATCGACAAAAGCAACATCAAATTTACAACTATAGTGATAATTAGTCAAGTCTCTGTTACTAATCAAAATGTCGGTTTAGTTCATGAGTAAGAAAATCCTCATCATTCATTTGCACTGGACATTGATTTGAGTTTCTTCCGTTTCGATTTATCATCAAGTTTATGTTGTTTTTCGTCGCTTATATTTCTTTTCAAATTGATTTCACTAGAAAACAGAGACTAATAAGTGGTACATAGATAAAAGTCTAATTTACATTACCTAAATAATTCTTGTTCAATTCCATTTTCTGTTTTCATTCGAACACTATTGGTTAATCAGTGATCTATCATTTTTGTTGACTTTCAATAGTATTTCCATATTCAATTAACTTATGTCTACAAGTTTTCAATGCTTTTGTCTTTTGTTTAACTATTAATTTTAAATATCTTCCGTTGTCAATTTCCGGAGTTGATTTGTTTTGTTTATTCTCCATATTAGAACTATAAAATAAGAAAATGTTCGCAACAAAACCAAGAGACAAGAGGTGCTCGATCTAGCTTTCTGAAACTACAACTTGTGAAGCTCTTCGAATGATCCTATTTCTGGGAACCGGAAACATGAGCACGAAGAAACTTGAGCACGGAAAGATGAGCACGGGAAAGTTGAGCACTAGGAAACATGAGCACAAATTTATAGTTTATCCATTAAATTTTTTGTACCATAAACAGTTGAAAAAATTTAAGAGAAAGTTAAAATATTACATTTTTTACAACAATGTGTTATAATTAAATCAGGTGTTTCCTGTGTATTCATTGTACGATACCAAAGATCTTCATTAAACTTTCGAAGTTCACCTGTAATACCATTACTTTTGCATGTATGATCAGAAGGTGGAGTTATAACATTATTGGTAATATTACATGTATGAAGACGAGCATGACATTTTTGAGAATTATAATATATACAACGCCAATATGTTTTATTTTCAGTAAATCGATCTTGTATGTACGAAAAATCTTGGAGTTCAAGACGAGGTTTTTGTTTAGTAGTACATGATACTGATGTAGATATTGCTGTAGACATATTTTTGCTGTAGAGAAAGTAAGTTGAGAAGTGAATTGTGAAAAAAGTTATGAATATATAATAGTATATTGAATTTACATCAATTATCTCAATTAATAATATATTGATAAACTTGTGTCCAATTTTCCTAGTGCCCATATTTCCTAGTGCTCAACTTTCCCGTGCTCATCTTTCCGTGCTCAAGTTTCTTCGTGCTCATCTTTCACCCACCCCTATTTCTCTCTTCTTAACTATCTTACACCATTATAAATATTCAACATTGCTCAAAGTCAGAGAAGATATAAGAATAACCAATTCTTCTTACTTGTTTTGTCTTGTTTTTGTGGCAAATAATCAGGTGTAGAATTATTGTACGCTTTATTAAGTAGCCATCGAACGGATGAAGTTAACTTCTCCGCATTCTGATTGTAATCATCTTCTCTATCTCTAGTTTCATCGTCATCCGATGTTACATTATAACTACTATTCACATGTTCTTCTTGATCAAATAATTTCATTGACAAGGTGTTTTTATTCAAAATAAAACCATATTCATTCTTAGTCAAAACGTCCGATTCTTCTTACAACATCTCGTACAACACCAAGATGAAAATGTAAAAACGAACAGAATCTTGATTCTCTCTTCGATTTAACAGATAATCAATCGTTATCCAGTCTGTAGTAAAATATATTATCCTGTCTTTCGTTGTTTTTAGAAATAAAACCGTCTATGAAAATAAAGTAGACGAGGAAATACGTTCAGATTTTAAATTTAAAAAAAAAATTAGTCAGAATTATACTTTTAACCGTGAAACGTTAATAACAGAAGTACCTGTTTCCCTCCCGCAACACCAACAAAAAACTGGACTACTTCCGTTAATTCCGTTTGTTCTGCTGTATTATCACTTGTCAACCTGAAACATCTCCATCGACACCGAGTGAACAAACATCAATAACACCATCAAATATACTATAGTTATTGCCGTTATCACGACGTGTTGAAACTAAAAAGTGAGAAAATGATTGATCTAAGTTAGCAATTATTACTTGGTTGTTGCTTTTTTTTCAAGAGCGGTACCCGCTTATGAACGTTTCAAAGATTTAACGAATAAGTGGACTGATACAACATTGGTTTTACCATCGAAATGTAAACTTTTATTTGAACAATTCAAACAACATGTGAATATCGTCAAGAGAAAGTTCACAAATTAACAATGAGTCCAACGAAATTAAAATATGAATTAGTTGTTTATCCATGTTTAATTGGTATGTATAAAATTGAATGCGTTGCAAAATAATAGAAATTTGTTTTCCTTTGTTAAGATTTTGAAATAAGTAATGCCTTTATTCATTCAATCGGTATTGATCCAAAAATGATTGTAGAACTATTAAAACGTTTTCAATCAAAATTGTTTGATATTGTTAAACAATTTCATGAAGTATGTATCAATAACATAAAAGTCAACTTTTTAATTATTAAAACTTATTCTTTACTTTGTAGATGTTCATATCAAGTATTTATCAATTGAAAGAAGTTAATAATGATAAATATATACGATGGCATCCAGAGTTTGATCTTGAAAGTGTTCCGGATATTGAGCTTGCTGATTTACCTCAGCCACCAAAAGAAATCGAAGAAAAAAAAATTGCAACAACATCAGATATTTTACGTCATGCGTAGACAACACAATCTGAACGAGTTAATATAAATCAACTTTTTCTAATGTGTTAAACTGCACAATCTCATCGCATTGTTCAGGATTTTCAACCGTACTTTCAGGTACTTTCAGTTTTTATTTTATTGAACCAGAATAATTTACAACAGCATGCGTTGGGTCAACGTAGAAAATGTTTTGCGTTCGACGACGTTAACGTAATATGCGTTGAAGTATTGGTATTTTGGTATTATCTGAAAAACGTTCTGCACGTCATTGAAAATAACGTTACGTTCACTTTAGTTTCTGATGTTCCTTTAAACCTTAGACTTTAGAACCAAGATGATTAGGATAGTCATCAAATCTCGTTCTGCATGGTCTGTTTTTAAACAAATAAGTTTGCACACAATTTATAATAAGTTCACTGTGAAAAATTATGTTTTGTTTTTCCTCCGTTAAGGGGGAGTTTGTAGAGGACGCTTCGGAGTATATGTCTCAACAAAGCTTTCGATCCCGCATTTGTGCTTCTTGATAAAAGAATTTTGAAGTTTTTTTCGGTTTTCTGCCCTATTTTTAAAATTTTAATAAAAACTTTAGTTTTTGATATGACGAGTTAATTCTAGCGTAGTTCGATAGAAAACATTAACTTGTATAACGGGAAACACTTTTCATCGTTCCTGAATGAAGTTTGACGCAGAAATTTAAGAAATTCTCTCTATCATTAACCTGAAATGAGAATTCTTGCTTGCGCTGTTATTTCTCTAGATACACTAAATCTCATGCATTTATTATATTTTGAGAGGTGGTATACTGTTGTTCTTCTAATTGGCGCTGTGTCAGCTGCTAATATACCTGAAAAATGTACTAAAGAATTTGTTGATCCTGGTCTGTCAACACATTTCAATAAAACAACTGCACATTCAATTCATTCAATGATTCAAGGGTTACGTCTATTTAATCCACATGCAACAGCTAAAAACCAAATACACACCGTGAATCATAATTTACATGGACATGGACATAGTTGAATATGCTCCAGATGATGAAGTATCAAATGATTTTTACGGATCTGCAATGAATATGATTGATAAAATTCTAAGCAATATTGGAAAATCAGACGATGGATTGTACACAACCTCAACCGAGAGAATTGTACACAAATTTTATATGTGGAATCTATGATTACGGCATCAACCATTATTTGAAAAATTGGCACCAGCAATTCGTAATGCAAATGTTTAATCGATACAAAAAAAGCGGTATCCACGATGCTGTTAGTTGGATTGCCAATCATTATCAGGTTGGAACATCAATTACATTACTCGGTCGTCCAATACCCAAATTGAATGATGCTAAATCGTGGGAGTTTTGGAAATATGATCTACTTCATTATTATGATAAGCGTGCACTCAATGATGCTGCTAGATTTATTCATTGTGCAACAAAAAACTTTTAAGCTGAAGTAGAAATATGAACTGTTAAGGCCTCCCCCTCCCCTCCGTCCGCTCAAAAACCTATTTTCTTCCAGGAACATTCAGTCTTGATGAAAATTTCAGACAATGTGTACCTTGAGGAAACTTAGTCATTCTACTAATTGCAGCCTCATATCACCTGTTTTCCCACAGCTTTCTTAAATTAGTGGTGAAGAGTATGGTTTCGTACTTTCAAGATTTCGCCGCCATTTTTCGTGCTAGAAATTTCAGATAAACGAAAGAAAGAAATATAATAATAGTTAATAGAAAGGAATACAATAATAGTTCACTATAGATTTTTGCGTATGTTAAGTCCAATGAGCGTATGCAGAGCCATGTGCAACATATATTTTTGCAAATGTAGTGATATTCAATAAAAATTCAATAAAATAAAAAATCCTTAAATTCAAAGTTAGTTATTCTTTTCATGTCTTTTTTATTTTTATGTAAAGCAATTTGATAAGATCAAATCAATGCTATTTAATATCGAACAGAACTTTAATTTCATAATGTATAGTGTCATCAATTTAGTTTAAGTTTGCATTGAACAAATATGTGTATAAAATTCAAATCAATCAAAAAACAGCAAAAACACTCTTATTCTTTATACAATGTCACACTATAATCAGACAAATCATATTCGTTTCTCATTCAAAAGTTTTAATCGAAAACTATCATCGATAAATAGAAAATGTAGATTTCTATTCTATTCATTCTCAATATTCTTTTAAACACCACCATTCTTTTTTACCGCTCATCAGAGTAAACATAGATTAAACAGGTTTTTGTCATTTAGACATCGTTTTATGGCACTTCAGTAATTACAGAATGGACCTTCCTTTCAAAGCCATTATCATACCATTTCTTACTACCGGGTGTTTCAAAACGAGATGATATTCTTCTCGTTACTGCTAAATTTAAAGTCTGATCATTCTCTTGCGTACTATTTGATATATAATTTGATTGTATAGGGACTACTGGCTCATGAGGAGAGGTTGGCCGTTGAGGTAGTGATTGGTCTTGGAGGGTCAGTTCATTCCGAACAGAATCTGTTGGTTTGATCACTGGATTTTTTTCTGATATTTCTTCAGGTTGAGGTAATGGTGATTGATGAGAATCAGTTGACTGTTGAATGCTATGTTGTACATGTGAGTCCTTCTTGATAACGGGAGGAGGAACGGTAGCTGTTGGCTGTAAATCTGTTTGATTTATTTCAGTAGTTTTAGAATGATGGTGATGATGAGAACTTTCCTTGTCATGTTTTCGATTGTGATGATGATGATGACGATGATGATGGTGATGACGTGGTGTTTCATCAAACGTAACTCCGTGTGTTTTTGGAGCTTTTTTTAAAATAGATGTGTGTTTATGTCTCGGACGTTTCTCATACTGCTTCTGTACCTGCGAAACCTCAGGTTTATCTGGATTTTCAATAGGTTGCTCCATAGACGTTGGTATACGCATATTATTGTAAACAGATGGCTGTTGAAACTGTGGATAGGCCTTTGCATAACGGGTATACTTATTTCCCATCTTTTAGATTAATATATACTGTCAAATATCTTTAGTTTATTGCGTATAAGTTAAATGAATGCGAAAAAACAGATTCTATAGTAATTTTTTTTCGTAACAAAATGTCCTCGATTGAATATAGTCAGCAAAAATTTTTCAATATGGGATTATCGCTAATTCTGTCAAAAACTATATGAATAAAAGAAATAAAAGAAATAATTTTCTTGAAAGAAAATGTTGCAAAAGTGAAATATTTCTAATTGTTTGTGAAGTGATAAAAAGTTGAAGATTTTAGTAGATGGAAGAAGTGACGGTAGAATACCACCTTTTTTTACCTACAAGTTAAACAGCACTGATAATCTGCTTTTTGCTTACAAAAGTTGACCAATTTGCTTCTCAATATTTTTTGTATAATTTATCCCTTTTACATTTTATAATAAAGATCGCAATACATTATTTTTTAAGAAATCCAAGATAGATCTTTCGCATTTTATCTCTATTTATCAATTCTAATACTTTAAGATTTATATTTTGTTTCGTGAATATTCTCCACCGATTGCAGATGAGTGCTAACAGTTTTGAAACTAAATCTACATAGATTATTTTTCAAAGTCACATACGCTATTATTTGTTACAACAACTCATTACATTATATACAGAAACGCATGCACAAAAATAAAAACAAAACACGAATCTACTCATCAATTATTATACGTACAATATTATTTTCGTGTTTTTTTTAACTTTTTTGTCTTTGATGATGATTTTTTTTTTATTATCTTTCGTTTACTATGTTCATCATTACTATCATTCTCATCTAAATTCAATTTATTCTCCTTCAATGTTGATTTCAAATTGATTGGTGATTTATTTTGTTTCCGACGAGCACTACTAGAAATCCCATGCAGTAGATTTTCATTATGAACTTGTGGTGCTAATGTCTGACGTCGTGTGGAAAATCTTGTTGAATAATGTATTCGAGGATCAGAAATTGGCGGTAATGGTGGTAGTTTGAAAATATTCACTAAACAAAAACAAATCTTAGAATATTAAAACAGTTTAGTAAATAGAAGTAGAATCATTATGAAACCAAACACAAAATTAATCAGTTGACACTGGATGTAATGCGTCGGTATAAGATTGATATTTCAGTACAATTAAAGTAATCATAAAAAAAATATCATTTTCTTTTTAGAAGCATCAAACTGTCTTCTCGATCAACACTAACATTTCAATACTAAAACCTTAGAAACTCAACTCATTTTATCAAACACTCACCAATTTCTTCTTCAATATTTGTTCTTTGGAGTGTATATTTCTTCGGTGTTGGACTATGTGTCCGTTTCTTCGATGATGGTATATTGTCGTCATCGGATCCTGTTTGTTTTCGTTTTCGCGCTTTTGTATCCGACGACGATGTATCTTCACTTGCAACTCGCTTTCGACCACCGCGTCGTTGTCCTTTCATTGTTTTTGTTACTTTTTCATTATTATCCAATTCTTTTAGTATTTGTCTAGGTCTTCTAGGGTTTTTGCGCTCCGTTGTGGTTGTTTTGGTTGGTAAATGGGTTTCGTTACGTTTTGGTCGACCAGCTTTTCGTTTGATCACTTGTTTTTCGCTTCTCTGACTCTCATCATCGCTCTTCCTAAAAGCATAAGAACAGATACATTCATCTTATTAATAAAATATATTGAATTCAAAGGATTGAATATCCTAGTAGTATTCGAGTAGACTAGTTTTTAAATGCACTTACTGGTTGTTAGATATTTGATCTTTGTCATTAAAATATTCTGTATTTGATATTTGCTCAAATGGAGTTGTATCAGAGCTAACTAAAATAAATAAAATAAAAAATAAAAATTGATGTTTTGAACATTAACTCACGAGGAAAGTACCCCAACTGATAAATCGCTTTTTCAACGAAACCGACTGGACTATAGGTAGTCGACGATGCTGATTCCGAATATCACCATGAATGCTGCTGCTAGGCCTTCAAAGACCGGTCTTCTGGGAAACCAGTTTTCGAGAAACTCTAAACAACAATCAAAAGCTTTCTTAATGAGACGTAATTGTAGTCCATAAATTTCTGATTAAAACGAGGCATCTTCCAGCTCTACACGACCTTTCTTTGCAAAGTTATAGAGTTTACAAGAAAAGCCCTAAATGTTCATTGTCACCTCAGAGCTACAGAAAGAAAAACGAAAAATGAATTTAGGGCTTTTCTTGTAAACTCTATAACTTTGCAAAGAAAGGTCGTGTAGAGCTGGGAGATGCCTCGTTTTAATCAGAAATTTATGGACTACAATTACGCCTCATTAAGAAAGCTTTTGGTTGTTGTTTAGAGTTTCTCGAAAACTGGTTTTCCAGAAGACCGGTCTTTGAAGGCCTAGCAGCAGCATTCATGGTGATATTCGGAATCAGCATCGTCGACTACCTATAGTCCACTCGGTTTCGTTGAAAAAGCGATTTATCAGTTGGGGTACTTCCCTCGTCAGTCTTACATGGGATGAAAACTGATGGTTTTGCTAAAATTGTTTTATATTGTTCATCGGAAATTGTTGGTCGCCTTATGTCACTTTCATCATCACTATTGTCAATAGTAAATTCTTCAATTTTTATATTTGGAACAATAAATGTTTTACCAAATTGATTGTCACGTTTTTTTAATGTACTACGTTGTTTTGTATTCACTTCAATACTTTCAACATCAGCAGAATCAGATTCATATTCAATTTCATCAACAATAGGAACATGTGTTGAAACTACAACAATAGAACAATGGTTAATTATTATTATTGGGTTTTTTTTTTACTCAAACTATAGACACATTTTTTGCATCAAGAACAAACAAGGTTTTATTTATACCTGAATAATTATTTTTTATTTCATTTATTTCTCGATCTGTTAAAGTTGAATCTTTCTTAATTTGAGTTTGCTGTTCAACGAGTGTATTTGTACTCGTATTTTCATTTATTGAAGTATGTTTTGTGGTATTCATTTGTTGTAAAGTAGTATCATTTTTAATTGTATCAGTTTCTGTAAAATTCAATTGTTTTGGTCTTAACGATAGATTTTCATCTTCATTGGAAATTAATGATGATCGATGCTCAGTTTCAGCCCTATAAGTACCATCTTGTTTATGTAAATCAATAACTTGCTGTTGCTGTTCATAATCATCATCTTCAATTTGCTTTTTGACAACGAATGTTTTATCCGTGATCGATAATAACGGTGTCGGCGGAATTACAACACTCATACGTTCTTCTTTACTATTTAAAATATCTAATGAATGTTTTGTCATTTCAACATCTCTGTTTGTCTCTGACTCAAGCTGGACTGCTGATAGGACATGCAGTTGTTGCTGCTCTTGTTGTTGTTTGTTTTCTTCTAGATTTATAGAAGTAGATGATGATGCTACTGGTGTGACGACTATTTTGGACTGTAGGCGAGTTTCTTAATAAGAAATGTAACAATTAATTATTTTTTATCAACAAAACCCTCTCGATCAGTTTATTCAACAGAAATCAAGCTCGCATGTCCCAAACTCTGTATGCTTAAACATACAAACATAGGCGGTGGTTAACACCGCTCAACGTTTGTTTTTCTTACAAAGATGGTACGAATTCAAGAAAAAATCTCATCTTAAGAGTATAAAATGATTATTCGGAGGCTATCTTAAATTTGAAAAGGTAAAAAAAACTGCAGAGTTACGCTGCTGACTGAGATATTATTCAATCATGAAGAAACTTTTCTTTTTTGAATATCTATAGAACTCATAAATTTTCAGTAGAGAAAAATTTATTTTTTCTCGAAACCTAGTGAGACTCAGCATCGTAAGGTTAAAATTAGTGAGGCTCAAGCTTTCGCCGTCTATGTATGCAAATATTCTGCTTGTCGGTTGATATTTTTAATTCTCATATTCCCTCCTGTGTAGTGTCTGCCCGGTTTCTGGGATTCGTACGAATACCAAGAGGGAATATGAGGGTTAAAGTAATCGTGAGAAGATTTTCAAATAATAAATTGTTTACTCGTTCACATACTTCTTATTGCACGTGTCAATAATGGTGTCAAACTTGTGGCATTCTATAAAAAATAAGAACATACTTTATACAAAGAAAATAAAAATTAATGAATCATTACCAATAATTCTGGAACATCCGTGGATTGTTGCTGTTCTTCCTCTTCTTCATCAATAATATGCAAGTCTTCTGCTGGACTTTGCTGAACAGTACGCGGCAAATTTCGCGACGAGCGCATATCACCTGGTATGAGTAGTTTTCTAATAGTTGTTTTAAAAAAGACATAAATGAAGAGCGCTGACTACACCACGATAAAGTTAAGAGCGTAAGCTTTTCTCAATCGCATAATATGATAAAGAAAATGTTTTTATCTTTGGTTTTTTATACTGACAAATCAAGGAAGATCATGAAAACTAGCCCAAAAAGGCTAGTTTTTTTGTTGCAAAAAGATAATTTAGTGACGAGAGAAAATCAGCGGAGAGAAAAAGATACTCTCTTGTATACTGCAGAAAGACGTAAAAATCTTATGTAGCCGCTTTTGCATCTTACTGATTCATCATTGAATGAATTTCTTTCCAATGTTCAGCTTCTTCATTAATTATACCTCGAATTTCCCCCCACTTTTTGGTTATGTTGTTACACAGATTTTCCATACGCTATAAGGAAGAAACAAGCTTAAACAAACAATGGAACAACAATCAATAACTCACTTTTTCAAAATATAATTCAACGGATTGAGACGCTAAATCAATCATACTATCCAGTATTTGTAATTTTTCTTGATATCGAACTAATAGAGAATCATGTCGTTGAATCTCTTGACGAATTTCTATATTTCGTAATCTCAAGTCATTTGTCTGTTTTCCAATTTGTAACGAAAGACTTGCATAAATAAGCTTACGTGCAGCATTACGTGCAGATTTAGATGCGTTAAATCGTTTCACTTCCCATGCTGACTTAAAAACACATAACGTTTGATCCATTCACGTAGCCGTATAAAAATGAATTTATCTCATACTGAAACAAATTTTAATAAATCGTATCATATAAGAACAAGTAAAGTATAGTGTGTGTGGGGGCGGACCACGGTCAACTTTTCTCCTATTTGGAGGGAACTGTAGTAAACCAGTCTATCCTTTTTTTGATTAATATAGTTTATGGTCAAACTTTTGCTTCGCTTCTTACAAATCCTACAGAGAGCAATTGATATTTGTGTTAGAGTGCTCGAGGTACGGATGATCACAATAAACTAAACATAAAAAAGAAATTATGTCTATTATCTCATTAGAAAACGTAAATCTTCCCTATTATATATAGGGATCCCAGATCCTAAACACGAAAATCAAAAAATAAATGTCCAAAATCCGAGAAAAAGAGGTAGAAATCAGTAAACCTTAGGGCAAAACAGAGTAGAAACGAAGCAGAAAAAGTTCCAAAAATCAGAATTCAGAAATCAGAAGATCTGGGATCCCTGATCATATTACATTCTTTCAAAATTTTACTTTGTCTACTTTTAGCCGAAAATAAGTACTCTATTCTTGATCTTACTTGTCGATTGGCAAAAATATTAGACGAAAGGAAAAGAACGACAATGATGTCGCCCAAGTATGTTTTATGTACAAAGATTGAAGAAAAACATGAAAGAAACTAATCGAGTTTTATATGGTTCGATCCGGCTTCTTTTCTAGATCATGAATAATAAATTTATTTTGCAGAAAAAGGCTTTGTTCATTAAAAAAATAAGTTTTTTAGTTTTTCCGTGTTGAACTATATGTAAAAAGGAAAGAATTTAGCGTCTACAAGGCGATATGTGCTTGTTTTATAGAACATAGTTTTCTCTTTTCTTTCCCTTTTTCGTGATGTCGTATGCAGATCACCCTTTCTTTTCTATATGTATCCTCATATCTGACATCACTTAATACATATATCTGCATTAACAATAAAAACTTTAATGAATGAACTACCGTAAAGAAAAAAAGGCTCAATTAGAGTACCTTTTCTTTTCTCTTGACTGTCTGAATACACTTTTCGAAATTACATCTACAGAAGTTATTCCGATAACGTACTATGAACTTAAAATTTTGTTTTTTTCGTACTGAGTAGTGCAAATTGGCGAAGTAAATCATATAAACAACAATTATTTGATCATTTATTTGGTCCGAAAAAATCTTGTGCAGTTCTAACACAAGCTACAGAAATCGTTCAACTCAGCGGTAGATCTAAAAATTACAGTAACGGTACTGTAGACGAAAAAATGAATACATCAAGCCACCCACGGAAAAATTTTTCGAATAAAACCGCGGTTAACCGCAGTTTGACTCACAGTGGTAAGGACAAACAGCGATTTCTTCGATCCAAACTGTGATTTGAAAGACCGATGAAAACCACGGTCTCGAGAAGCTTGATCGAATCGAGTTGCGGTGGTGTCACCGGCGAAAAACCGTGGTTTCAAAGGGATGTAATTTAGTGAGACTGAACTGCGGTATTGGAAATCGCACTTTTTTACGATTTTATATACCTCGGTAAACTCGATCTAAATCGCAGTCTATGACTACCGCTCAGTACAGCGGTTTCTTAAACCACGATGTTTACGATTTAAACTTTGGTTTATCTTCACCACGCGTTTTAATGATTTCGAGACCGCGGTTTCCGTCGATAAAACTGCGGTTCGATGATGCCGCGTTCTCCACCTGACTGGACAGTGCGCTTTGTAACAGAAAACCGCGATACCGGAACCAGGTTTTTATCTGTTTTTTGTCGCCAGGAAGATGTCGTATCAGGTGTATCACCAGGGATCCCAGATCTTCTGATTTTGACAGAAAATTTCCGATTTTTGAAACTTTTTCTGCCTCATTTCTGCTCTTTTTTCCTCAAAGGTCTATTGATTTTCTGATTTTGAACTTCTTTTCTGAGGTCTTTCTGATTTTCTTGCTTTGGATCTGGTATCCCTGAGATAAACCGAAGTTTAAATCATAAACATCATGGTTTAAGAAACCGCTGCACTGAACGGTAGTCACAGACTGCGGTTTAGATCGAGTTAATAATTGCATAAATAACCCGAGGTGGTTCAATGGAAACATGTTGGACAAGTAAATCAAAGGTAAGGAGTTCGAATCTTACACAACACATATGAAAGATTGGTGGTTTCAGGTAGGCTAACCGCATTAGAGGATCATCGCAGTGCAATAGAAGCAACAGCCGCAGTGTATGGATGTAGCGGTAAGAACAGGGTACCCGCTGCCAGAGCTATAGAAACAAATGTAGAAAGAGAGAAGGACGGAAAACGAACAGATACCTCCGCTAATATCAAGAAAATCGTTTTTGTAAAAAAGTCACTCGAAACCGCGGTATGAAAAACGGTGATTTCGGCCGGTGTGTAAAAACCTAATAAACAGTCTGACTCCCGCAATGTATTTAAACCGGCAAAAGTCGCGGGATTTTATACTGCAGTTAACCGCGGTTTTATTCAAAAAATTTCTCCGTGGACCGATTGGCACACTCTCGAAACTTAGGAGAGGAGATCATTGAGAGAGGCGGTATTGATTTTATCCAAAAATGTTCTGGATTCGTCGCTGTAACTTCCAAATTGTTAGACTGCTGTTTGTGACAAACAGCAGTCTAAACTCAAAGAACTGTTTTGCTTATGAAAAATTTTTCATAAGCAAAACAATTGTTTGAGTCTCCTCTTCAAACTCTGTTTACAAGTCATTTTAGGATTTATTTTTTAAGTAAATCGAGTTAATTGTTTTTTCTATTGCTTATGTTCCAATATAATATAATAAAAAGTATTTATTACAATACTTTTCAGTCATATTTTAACAGAAAGAAAAAGCTTTCTTGATTCGAGAGTTTCAAAAGCTCTCGTATCTAACCTTGTGTAGAACCTTTAGTTGAAACGGTTTATAAGAGGTTATGACTGATTATTTATTTTTGTTTTGTTTCAGAATTTCATCCTGCAGCCTTCAATTATTACGGCAGCATTCAGCATTTACCGCAAGATCGACTTTTTATACAGCGGTTTCCAAGGCTCGATTTAATGTTTTTCGAGATTAGAATCCTTTAAAACGTTGGGCGTCAAAAGAGCGTCTTATTCAAATTAGGAAGAAAAAAGTGAAATTTTTTCCTATGTATTTTTGCATTGCCTAAATTCGAGATGGCGCCACATCATGATTTTTCGCGCCCATATAAATTATATCAGAAAATTCCACTTTTTATTCCTAATTTGAATAAGACGCTCTTTGGTGCCCAACGTTTTAAAGGATTCTGATCTCGAAAAACATTCATTCGAGCCTTGAAAACTTCTGTATAAAAAGTCGATTTTGCGGTAATGCATCATCTGAAATACATGGTTAAAAATATTTTCATTATTGACATCATTCATCTGATAGAAAAGTCTTCGGGTTATCCAAAACAGTATTCAGACTGGTTTCAGCTTTTACTAAAAAGTCAAAAACAAGGGAGTTCTTGTGATTATGACACACTGTACTGCTTCTCTTCGATACCGTTAATGAGTGATCCGATCTGTCTGGACATTCTGACCAGCTCACTTTGTAGAGACTTTAAAGGGCTATCTAATGGTATGTTTTTGAAATATATATAATTTTTTATTAAGGCAGAAAAATGACTAAAGCAATATTTAAAGCACTAAGATAGGTGAAAATTTTGACATCGGCCAAGTATTTCGACTATTGATCCATCTGGGCATGTTTTTGAAAGACTTCTTCATAGCTTATTTTGAAGCGTAGAAAGTTCTCTATCTTTCTATATATAAAACATTCCGGTTCTGAGTAGATGAGTTCAAGAAATATTCCTTTTTTATTTGATTAAGATAGGTGAAAATGATGATATCTGCATAGTATTTCGAGAATTTTCCTGTATGGGCATATTTTTGAAAACCTCGTTTATTTTGAAGCCCAGAAAATTCTCTATGTTACTATGTCCTTTCCTCAGGTACTTGCGAGTTACTTGGGCAAGCACTTAGTCAAGTGTATGACAAACAAATCAAGTAGTTCAAGTACTTGATTTACTTGCGAAAAAAGCCAAGAACGTTGGCACAAAACTTGCGGGGCACTTGGGCAAGTACATTCACTAGGGAGGGTGTCAATCAAAGAACTGGCGATTCAGACATGTTCCAGTCAGTGTAACCATTTGGTGTCGCTAAGCGTAATACTACTCATATACCATGTAAAAATTGAAGCATTCATCATTGGTTACACAAACGACAGCACCTTACAGACAGGAGACAATTTATGGTGTTTTAACTCACACTGATCCTCCGAGATAGCGCTCTCAGAAACTTGTAGTGCTATTATCAAAAGAGCTTCACCCGGTTCAAAGCTTCCAGGGGGTTGACGAAATCGGATCCGGTTTGATTCCTGTCGGATCCGAGCAAGATTCATCGGAGATGGTGCGGGTCTGGCCGATTGTATTTGACCTGAATAGCAATCATAGTGTGAGATATCAACCAGGATCGGTTTGGTTTTTTTAGCGTATACATGGACAAAACTAGGGATCTTTTTATGTTAGCGTCTATAAATTTCTTTTAATGTGTTGAATTTTGTTCAAAAATAAACTTTTGTTCGTTTCTTTTCTCTAAATTTGGATTCTTCATCATGCGTTGCATAGTATTAGATCAATCATATCATCGACAGAAAAATAAAGTTCGTTTAGTGTCGCGGAAAAGTGCTTTTTCGTATTCTGCACACTCGATAACTCAGTATATTTCCTATTTTTGATGAGGGGTACTGACAAAAGTTTAAGAAAAATTTTGAAACCAATATTATTTTCCCATGGTAATATTTTTTTGCCATTGTGTTTAAACATTTTTTCTAAATTTTTGGAAGTACCCCTCGCCAAAAATACAAAATCTGCTGAGTTATCGAGTGTACTGAATACGAAAAAGCGCTTTTTCTCGACTCTAAATGAACTTTATTTTTTTTCTTCGTGTTGATATGCACAACACTATGAATTATCATCAGTCTTACAAAGTTTTATTGAAATGTCAGTCCCGCCTCTTGAAGAGCTATGATTAGACTCAAGGATTTAGAGCATTCAACATCGTTCGATCGAGCAAGGTGTCATAGTTGTTTAGGACAGATTTTCGATTATCGACCAGAGTTGTCTAAATAGTTTGAGAATATGAAGTATTTCATCATCAGCTGATTGCTGACTATAGTAGGTCATTATATGGTATATCGTTTTATTATTAATAATAACGTGTGGGAGGCTTTAGATAATTATTTACTAAAGATTTACTGTTTATCATTTGGATGAAGGTCGTGTTTTCAACTAGAACGAAAAAAAGAAGTGACGTTATTGTCAATCAGTAAAAATATACGATTAAAAATGAAGTATCATATAGATTTATGTGAGTATCAGAGATGTAAGATCTTATTGAGGCACTAAATGAGTATATATTTTATTTCTTGTAGCCCTTCTACTAATATTTGGTACAATCTACTCATCTTTTAGTGCTTGCCCTCCACCTTCTGTTATTTTTCCTTGCCGATGCGCATTGTTTGTTTTACCACAGACCTATACACTGTTTTTTGATCGATCTGAAATTTTTCTTGAAAATGGAAAATCAATTGTTTGTGAATATCTGAAAGATATTATCGATTTAAAAGAATTGTTTCAAAATTTAAGTTCAAATGTATCATCAACACCGGCTGAAAAACATTTTGATACATTTTATCTTCTAAACACAGTTCAAAAAGAAATACCAGAAAATGTGTTTAGCGATATTACATTTACCAATCTTCAATTTCAACAAAATCTTCATTTAACCTATATCCATCCAAATGCGTTTACATTGACCAATTCCTATGTGAAAATATTTGAAACACTGAATACGAACTTATCAAATGACTTTCCAAAAGAATATGATATTTTTGATGTTTTAACAAAATTTACAAATATCAGACGGATAAGTATGCAAAATGACAGTTTGACATCGATACCAGATTATGCGTTTCGTCAACGAGCTAACAATTCTAACTATTCAATTCAATCGAGTTTAGAACAACTATGGTTTGGTATTGAAGGAATAGCATCACAGAAATTTTCATCGATTGGTCAATATGCATTTTATGAGTTACCTAATCTACGATTTTTAAGACTATTTAGTGATAATATGACAAAAATTCAAAAATATTCGTTGGCATTTAAAAATCGTGTTAATTCATGGAATTTAAACAATCAGTACATGGAAGTATATTTAGGAAGCAAGTCATTGTCATCAGAAAGTTTCGAACCGACATCACTAACGCGGTTTCGTTCAAGACACATATTTCTTCGTTTATATTCGACTGCCATGTCCTATTTAGATGAGAATATTTTTCAACCATTTTTAGAATCAAATTCGCAGTCAGCGATAGATATTGCCCGTTCGTTTGAATCTTGGTCATGTGATTGTCGATCGAGCTGGATTCAACGTGACTATAGACTGGAAAATTATGATATTGATAATAGAGTGTATGGATATAGATGTTGGGATTATGATTTCAAAAATTGTACGAGCGCTATTTTCATATAGGATATATACGATTTCATTTATGCTAAATATACTAAAATACTATGAAAACATATGACAATATTAGTCAATGTTTTCATTTTGTCATTTTGCATCATCTAGTTCTTAAATAAAAAAAATATGCATATGCGTCATTTTAGACGAACTGGCCCTACTCTGCGACTTTGAAGCCATAGCCCTTCCATAACCCCCTACTCTCAAAAAAAAAAAGGTGCCGTGCGGAACTTAAAAAGGGTTTCGAGAATTGAAACCATTTCTAAACCTTTTTTTAGGTTCTGTACGAATAAGGTTTCGTACGATACCTTTTTTTCTGCTTTCAGAAAAAGGTTCCGTATGGGAGGTTTCGTACGATACCTTTTTCCCTGCTTTCCAAAAAGGTTTCGTATGAACC